TTCCCCAAACCTGAAATAATCCCATCGTCTACTTTCAAAATGCTTTTTAAATGAATGGGACCGTCTTTAACCTAAAATATATGCCATACTGAACGTTTCAGCTTGTTTATGGTGAGTAAACCTGCGTCTTACAAACAACTGTTTACTTTCAGTTTGAGTTTATCGTGACTTACGATCTAAAAACTAGAGACGTTCCGAAATCCTGTTTTGTAAACAAAGATTCATACGCACCGCGTGGGTATAACCGTATTACTAATTTCCGATTTTTAAAATCTTCGTAAATCTGGATTAAGACCAGTTTCTATCCAATGGATATCAAAATGATTCCGATTTTCATTTTTTTTAATGATTGTAAAGTTGAAATGGCATGACAGGCTGACATTATTTAGGAGAACTATTTTGTCTAGCGATTGCTGATCATTGGAGGGTAAAAAGTCCAACACCATAACAAAACGGATCTATTTATCATGTATACATACCGATTGTTTACGATTGTAAGACATGTGCATAAAAGTGAAAGCTCGAATAAATAAGAAAAATATAACAAAGGGATAGCTCCAAATACCATTTAATAACAAAAAACATATGGACAGGTCAAGATATCTTTTTGGTAAATAAAATAAAGAATGTAAACTGGTTCCCGTCCGACTACAACACTTTGTTCGTGTGTAGCATAATACAAGCAGATTCCAGTTATTATGTAAAATAGTAAATATGAAACCGAGTGCGGTAGGCGGAGGCAATAATCGACTTCCGTAAGTTCTGGTCAATGGTATCGGAAACATGCCGCTGATAGCGTCATTTTCCAACAAGAGTGCACATGCTGAAATGTCTCGCCTGCTTAACTTATCATGATTGTATGCTTGTTTGTTATCTATATCAACCACACTTGCAATAAAATGCATTAGTATTAAAAAAAAACAAACATACTATATATTCTTTATCTACGTATTCTTTAAGAACTTAAATAGTTCTTGTTAAACTTTTTTTTTTATCTCATTGTTTGTATTGTATTATGAAAAATTATTTATGTTGTAATGTTTATGCCCTTTGGGGCCCATAATTGGAAATAAAATATCTTATCTTATCTTGTATGTTGAAGATTTGAAATATGGACCTTACTATAAGCACCACATACTCTTAACATATTCAATGATCCATGAAAATGAGACAGACAGACGTCACATGTACACCTTACAATCATTCAATTCACCAAATAGAATGGTCCTATATTGGCTTTTGCTTAAAGTACCTGAGAACCAGACCAAACCACAAAAACTTAACATCGACCAATAAACCATGAAACTGAAAGTAAGGCCAAGGTCAGATGAACCTTGCCAGGCAGACATGTACACCTTACAATCATTCCGTAAACTAAATATAGTTGACATACTACTTATAATAATTATAGTATCTTAGAAGAGGGTCAAAATACAGAAACTTAACATTGGCAATTTGACCAATTGCAATGAACCATGAAAAGAGGACAAGGAAAGATAATACCTGCTCAACAGATATGTACACCTTACAATCATTCCATTTTTTGTTATTTTACTTTCTACTGCTTATAACAAATGTACATTGTATAATAGTATTAGAAAAACAGACCAAATCGAATAAAACTTAACATTGACCTATGATTCAATGAACCATGAAAATGAGGACAAGGTCATACGAAACCTGCTAGACTGACATGTAAAGTACACCTTACAATCATTCCAATACACCACATATATATGTAGTTGACATACTGCTTACAGTATCTGAGAAACAGACCTAATCATGCAACTTTAAAAGCAAAATTAAGCAAAAGGGGTGTTCTTAAAAAAGTTAATTCATACTACATTTGGACTTTGAAAATTCAGGATACATAGAGTACATGTACAATACACCCTTAAAAAATGACATTTTTCAATAAAAAAAAAAAGCTGCAGCATCATGTGTGTTTTGTGGATTTCTTCACACCAAAAATTCAGAATCCAACAGTATTTCAACAGATTTTTTATAGTGAAAATGCTGAACCCAAAAATGCTGCCATCGTTACCTACAGTCTACACCATTTAATTTATAGCCACTAACTAATAAAATTTTATATGGGCTAGTAAGTATTTGAAAAATTTGTTTAGACACATAAGAAAAATGTCAGAATTATTGGTCTTTGGACTAGCAGTTGGAAAAGATTTTGGTGCAGACTGGGTCTGTACAAATAATCCTTTTAACCTGCAGGACCTGTGCATGTTGTGTCGGTCAATCAGTTGATTAATTTGTTTACATACCGGTAACAATAAGGGTCTATTAGAATTATGAGGGTCAGAAATCAAGGATTTTAATAGAAAGAAGGACCATTATAATCTTGTGGACAGTTTACATACACTGTATGGGAATATCTGATCAACGTATTGTATAGGAATAACATGACTGGTGTCACATGTGGAGCAAGATCTGCTAAACCTTCTAGAGCACCTGAGATCCACCCTGGTTTTTGTTGGGGTTTGTGTTGCTCAGTCTTTTCTATGTTATGTATTGTGTACTTTTGTTTGTCTTTATGTTGTTTTTCGTTTTTTGACATGGCATTGTCAGTTTTTCATCGACTTATGAGTTTGAATATCTCTTTGGTATCTTTTGCCTCTCTTTGTGTGGCAAGAGTTCTTCAACTTCTTGCAACATTTCCTGTCATGCATCTCATTCTTTGCTTGGATTGCATGATAAATGCCAATTAAATTGTGGAAATTTTCTCTTTTCAAATTGAAGTCAGTATTTTGAATGTATAATAAAACATAGACACATGACTTGATACTTTAATGTTTAAGTTTTAGACAGTTCTAATCTAAAACAACAGTTCTCATTGTAGTAATATACAATATCAGCACAATAAATGACTGCATTTTGTTCTTACCACTTCATCATTATCCTGCCCATATATCTGGTCTACACTACAACTTCAATCTCCTCCTCGAAAACAAGTATTTTCAGGCCTCGACATTTTAATTTATTTAACTTGTCTATTCGCAGCAAGTTGCAAGAAAATGAATTTGTGGAACTTGTCTGACTTCTAAACTCACTTGCATGAATCCAAAGTGCAAAATCTTAAATTAAGTAATGTTGTCTAGTGTCTTTTGACACAATTATTATATCATGTACACACTTTGGAATTATGTTAATGATGAAGGATACTCAAGGAAAGTGCTTTGTAGGCAATGAACTAGTTTTTTACAATATTATAATATACAGATAAGATAAGATACATGTACAGTAATGTCTTTTCAATATTTTCTGTCTGGATGTGCTATATCATGATCAGTGCTTCTGCAGACATGTCCTGGTTACACTAGCTGAATCATACCATCATCAAAATTATCCTTCAAATGTTAATAAGTTATGTGATAGGCTAATGCTTATGGGTAAAACCTGAGGAAATCAAAATGTGTTTTATACCCTGAAGTATAATGTAACAATTTACTGGTAATAAAGTTGTCAAAGGAAGAAAATTTGTTATCAAAAGATTGCAGATCAATGCATTTAAATTGATAATAACGTTATGTAACACTTTGAAAATTTGGGGGGGGGGGGTGAGAGAATGTCACACAGCTATAACCTGATAAGGCACTGGCTACTAACTCTTACAATGACAATGTAATAATAACGAAAAAAAATTGTTACGTTTAAGATGCAAGGTCAGTTAAGAACCGATTAATTACAGACGTAACAATAATATTTGTGTCTACAGTTACATTGTGTTATTGTAACATGTATGTTAGCTTTATCAAAACTTTAACAAACTGATTTTGTTGATGAAAAGTATTAATTGTGTGACACCTTTCAAATTCCTGTTTGTCCCCCCCCCCCCCCCCCCCCCCCCCCCTATCTTTTATAGTTACATGTATATGAACAAAAAAGGTCTTACTACACGATTGAACTTTATCATGTTTGTATTAAGCTGGACATTAAAAGCTGAGTCAAACCTTTAATCAGTAATGGTTGGAAAGGAGATAATCTGAACAGACAACATAATGTAACAGCATGTTTCCGACAAAACTTTTGGACGAAAAACATAAGCTTTTCCAGGATAAAAAGGTACTTTTCACCCGAAGCGTGAATTAATTTAGAATAAACTGTATCTTAATATATTACATACATAGAAATGCTTTCACATAGCAATAACCCAATATAATTATCAACACAAATATTATTGTTGCGTTCATAATTAATCAGTTCCCAACTGGAACTTGCATTCTGGCTATGAGTTGGAAATGTAACAATAGTTTTTCGTAATTGTTACGTTTTCAGCGTTATTGTAGCCAGTGCCAAATGATAAATTATTCTGGATAGTCCAAATCTCCGATACATTTTTGGAGATCAGGGATGTTAATCTGTCTTGACACATTCCCCATTTCCATAATTTCTCAATATAAAATTATGTATAGACCATAGACAATTTATTTGAAATCAGCAAAGTATATCATTAAGGGGTAAGCTTTTAACCGAAAATAAACAAGTAATGAAAGACAAATAAAACATTAAGAATGCATCATCATGCACATATAAAACATAGTTTCATCAAAACATCTGAAATTACAGCCTTGCATAAATCAAACACTATGATAGTCATGATAGTATCTGGTTGCTCACAAACTATCATAATGCTCGACTCAAAACAAACTTGAAAATATAAGGACGTGAATATAGAAACTTACTGATGGTTCTATCTTCTTGAGTGCAAATGAGTCGGTAAGCGATGAATTCTTAATATTGCTAGCTGTTTGGTTAAAAATGTCCAATGCTTTCGCCACACGCACTTATCTAGGTCTATGGCACGCTTTAATCATAAAAGAATAGCATAGTATCTATAAACGTTTTAACAATGATACTATCTTCAAAATAAGTTTTAGTATAAATTTAAATCTAGAATTAAAAATTTACAGGAATTTAGAAGAAAAAACATTCTATAGAATAATTTTTTTTTTTTATATGTTTTAACTTAAATGAAATGTTGCATTATGGGATAGTATTCAACCGCCAGACGCCATTTTGATACATGATTTGACCAGTATTTAGCTGTGTGTGATCCAAAATCCCACAAATACCGTGTAGAAGTGTCCATAATATAGCTGTAATATTATAATGATTTAAAAAAAAAACACTCATCAGTATACTTTTAACAATTTTACTTGTCTGCAAATCTCGTTATGATGCTTTCCCATCACTTAAAATTATCACAAAAATTGTGACACCATAAAACCGATAAGTACAGTTAAAACCTGAACACTTGCTCTACACAGCAAACGTTATTACCTCATCTACCACACTCGCACATGTACCTTGTTTACATTCATATACAGGTTGTATTTTTTTATTGTATACGTCAAAAATATTTATTTTTCATGAATAAAAATTCAAAAATGTTTTGAATAAAAATATTTTATTGTGATAAGTTTATTAATTGTTATTTATATCTGATTACTGTCAAGGAATTGTATATTTAGAAGGAATGGAAACGCGGCCGACTTCAAAGAAAATTGTATGATGCATCTCTGACTTGGGTGGTGTGTTAATTTTATCCCGTCGCTCTAACTGGCTCATTACTTATCTGGCAGTAGTTATCGAACTTGGTCATTTAATCATGAAATGAAACAAGGAATTGTCTATTTAGATATACAATTCCTTAAATGAAATGAACAAAAAATACAACCTTAAACGAAGTTACTTCTGAAAAACATTTATTTCTTGTACCTCCTCTTGATATTTCACGAAGGTATGCAACCATTAAGATCAATTAATAGATGAAATCTGACATTATACGAGTTTTTAAAAAGATTTGAGGTAATGCAAAAAGTTAAAAAATAACTTTTTAATTTTGGAATTATATGACTGGTATAGAAAAGTATAAAGGAAGAAGTACGTGAACAGATGTAGTATTTTGTCTAGATAAAAGAACTTAGATCATAGGTGTTATAATAAACACCGGTTTGGGATATCCAATTTGCAGGTATAATCTATCATGTATCATTGATAAGCTAATTTTTGTCGTATATATATTTAAGCAGGAACAGTGTATACTAACTATAGGCTGTCCCTGATTTAAGGTGTCAAAAAGAAATCACGCCGAGCTCACCTGTTAATAAATGCTAAAATATGCCGAGATGCAATAAAAATTTTAATTAGAAACAGTTAAAACTTTCCCACATTCGCATATTATTTATTTATATACCGAAGGAATATTTTTTGCGACCTCTAGACTACTGCTCTGCGAGAAAAAAGGAAGGAACTGTTTTACTGTTAAGCGTATGGTAATTCGCGGCAACGCTAAATAATGGCAAACTGCAATACCAAACAACGATTTAGTATAAAAAAAATAGTATTTGACAAAAAAATAAATGAATAAAATCGTATATATAACGGCACAATCAATCCCAATCGGAAGTCTTATATATATTTCTTGCCTGTAATTTCCGACTTCGTCGGTGTGGAACTTGACTGAACAAAATGGCGTCAATGTGAACTATAAACATGGGATTTTGAAAAATCATAGCAAATTCGTTTTTATCACCATTTTCATAAAACCAACACTATGTGATAGAAAAAAGATTACGCTTTTAAGTTGTATGTCAATGTCACATCTATTTCAAGTAGTTATTTAACCCTTACCAAAATACGAAGTGTCGATGTATTTATTGACGCACTACTTCAAATTTTTAACATGTTTCGAAATAAAATCATTTACATTGTACCAATTACATTTAGCATTCGTAATTTAGACCAAACTGTAGGAAAATATTCCTTCTTTAAAATGATATCTCATTTTCTCACTTTGTTCTTTCTACTTTCCAATATTTAAAAGAAATCGTAGTACACTCCCAGATTGATAGACATATTTTGACAGAATAATGAAATTCAAAACTGAAATTTCGAAAAATCGTAGAAAATTCAGAAATTTTACCAGAAACTTAAAAAAAGGGCAAAATGATAGAATAAGGTTTCAGCTTCATAATGATATCAACTGTTTTGTTTTGCACTTCGTAGTTGTCGAGCTTTTAGAAAAAAATCAAAACACAGTATTTTTTGTTTTGTAATCCGGATGAAACTCGCTCAAGTTTCAAGACCAAGGTCTATTTTAATGAGAATTTACATAATACAATATTACAAACGTATGTTTGATGAGGCATTAAAATGATACCTAAGGCCTTACCCTTTTCATGGAATAAAAGTTTATTCTTGATTTTGGGTTTCTCTCTCCTTTATATCTTCTCAAGCAAGATGACCCCGTGAATTAAAAGACCGATCTATATGACAGGAAATGGACCTCCGTCATGATTCTTTATGATATTTTATATTATTCATCATACTTCCGACTGAGACAGACATGGATTAAAGCTCTGCGGGTGCTCTGCGGGTATTCCGATTGATCTCGAGCCGCGTTTCCATTCCTTTTAAATATACAATTCCTTGTTACTGTTAATTGGTATTTACAAAGCTAATTTAGTATTGACTTATTTACATTTTTGATATTTAGCTGAATTAGTCTCTGATGACCGCCTCGTGTGCATGAGGTCTTGGGTTCAAACCTGGCCCGGTCAAACCAAAGACTTTAAAATTGGTATTTGCTGCTTCTCTGCTAAGCATGAAGCATCAATGAGTAAGAGCAAAGACTGGTCGGCTTGAAGTTGGAATAATGTGTCCGGGTAGGGTGACATGTCTTCTTGCGGACTGTTACCTTGTGAGCTAGCATGTTAAAAATCCGGCTCAGCGTGTCGGTCTTGTAGAAAGCAGGGTAAATATTCATATTACATTTACATGTTCTCGTCCTGAAGACTACCACTGACAAACTTCTTGAATTTAGTACATTTTGATGCAAATATATTTCCTTACAATGTACCATAATTTTAGTATTTTTATTGATGTATTTACAGATGTCCAGATATTCCAGTCGTGATTCAGATCGTGATAGGGGTAGAGGAGGAGGCGGCGGCGGAGATCCCGACACAAAGTTATATGTTGGTGACCTTGCCAGAGACGCACACGAAAGAGACTTGGAAAGAGCATTCAGTTATTACGGACGGCTACGCAATGTTTGGGTTGCAAGAAATCCAGCAGGATTTGCCTTTGTTGAGTTTGAAGATCCCAGGGATGCCGATGACGCTGTTAGGGCATTAGATGGAACGTAAGCTGTCATTTATGTTAATACCATTAATAGATATGGCTACATATTTGCTCTGTGCCCATTTTGCTGTGACAACCATTGAAAATTAAAAACTAAGCCAAAAACATCAGTCTCAGTCATTTTCTAATAGCTATATGGGTTGTATTTATTCAAAAAATATTATCCATGGATAAGATTATCTCTCATCATTAATTTCTGCATAGTTCAATAGATCTTGTGCATTATTTAATGTAACATGGACAGACATGTTCTTATTCAAGGTTCCAAAGAGTTTTAATAATTTAAAGTGAGTAATTGTGAACTGTTATCATGTAAGAGCAATGTGTCATTCATAAAAAAAATCATAAACCATTCAACACAGTGAATTTTGCTACCTTAAAGGTGTAGAATCGCATAAAATTTAATTGAAAAAATTCATCAAGCATTAAAGTCATCCTAAAAATACTTTCAGACTTGCAGGAGTATTGTATCTTTCCTAATATTGACAGATCTACATATGTAGCATAATATATATGATCAAAAAGGCAACTGATATGAACAGAAAAAATGACTGAAGGCAGTAAAATATCAATGGTTCATCAGCCAGTCTCATGTAACATGGACAGACATCAATTAAATCTTGTCAACCATTTAATTATTAGGGAATATAATGTCTAATTTTTATACGACCGCAAAAAAATTTTTGTGGTCGTATATTGGTATGACGTTGGCGTCGTCGTCGTCCGGCGTCGGCGTCGTCCGAAGACACATTGGTTTTCGCACTCTAACTTTAGTTTAAGTGAATGGATCTTTATGAAATTTTACCACAAGGTTCAATACCACAAAAGGAAGGTTGGGATTGATTTTGGGGGTTATGGTAATAACAGTAAAGGAATTAGGGGCCAAAAAGGGGCCAAAAATAAGCATTTTTGTAACTTCCAGACATAACTTGTGTGTTAGTGTATGGATCTCTCTGACATTGTACCACAAGGTTCCATATCACTAAAGGAATGCTGGGATTGATTTTGGGGGTAATTGCCTCCAAATTTTAGGAATTAGGGGCCAAAAAAGGGGCAAAAAACAAGCATTTTTCTAGTTTCATGACAATAACTTGTGTGTAAGTGTATGGATCTTTCTGAAATTGTACTACAAGGTTCCATATCACAAAGGGAAAGCTGGGTTTGAGTTTGGGGGTAATTGCCCTAAACGTTTAGGAATTTGGGGCCAAAAAGGGGCCAAAAAACACATTTTTTTCTAGTTTCCAGACAATAACTTGTGTTCAAGTGTATGGATCTCTCTGAAATTGTACTGCAAGGTACCATACCACAAAGGGAAGGCTGGGATTGAGTTTGGGGGTGATGAATCATAATGGGGGTTCAAAAAATTTTGGGGGCGGATTTATTTTTTTTTCCTTTTTTTTCTTTTTTTCCTTTTTTGTTTCTTTTAAAATTTTCCATTTTAAGTTGGTTATTTCTGATTTATATTTAAAATCAAATAATAATGATATGGTAGGAGATACACACCAAACAGGATGTGTAAATTATTATATAATAAGTATTGTGCAATAGCAAGAAATTTTCAATTGCACAGTATTGCACAATAGCAAGAAATCTTCAATTGCACAGTATTGCGCAATAGCAAGAAATATCCAATAGCACAATATTGCGCAATAGCAAGAAATTGTCAATTGTACAGTATTGCGCAATAGCAAGAAATATTTAATAGCACAGGATTGTGCAAAAGAAGATACTTCCTATAAATTGCTTATTTCTTGACCAATTTCAATGGGGTTTTATTCTTGATTTCATGGGGTTCTTTAATATGCTGAATCTAACCATGTTTTTGGATTTTGGGCCCCGTTTTTAAATTGGTCCACATTGAGGTCCAAAGGGTCCAAAATTAAACTTTGTTTGATTTCATCAAAAATTGAATTATTGGGTTCTTTGATATGCTGAATCTAACCATGTATTTAGATTTTTGATTTTTGGGCCCCGTTATCAACTTTGTCCACATTGAGGTCAAAAGGGTCCAAAATTAAACTTTGTTTGATTTCATCAAAAATTGAATTATTGGGGTTCTTTGATATGCCGAATCTAACCGTGTATTTAGATTCTTAATTTTTGGTTCCGTTTTCAAATTGGTCTCGTTAAGGTCCAAAGGGTCCAAAATTAAACTTAGTTTGATTTTAACAAAAATTGAATTCTTAGGGTTCTTTGATATGCTGAATCTAAACATGTATTTAGATTTTTGATTATGGGCCCAGTTTTCAAGTTGGTCCAAATCGGGGTCCAAAATTAAACTTTGTTTGATTTCAACAAAAATTGAATATATGGGGTTCTTTGATATGCTGAATCTAACCATGTATTTAGATTTTTGATTTTTGGGCCCCGTTATCAACTTTGTCCACATTGAGGTCAAAAGGGTCCAAAATTAAACTTTGTTTGATTTCATCAAAAATTGAATTCTTGGGGTTCTTTGATATGCTGAATCTAACCATGTATTTAGATTTTGAATATTGGACCATAATAGGTGAATGTCCAATTTAAAATTTTTAAGTTCTTAGACCACATTCAATCTGTGTTAGAAACCTATGCTGTGTCAAATATTTAATCACAATCCAAATCCAAAGCTGTATCAAGCTTGAATGTTGTGTCCATACTTCCCCCAACTGTTCAGGGTTCGACCTCTGCGGTCGTATCAAGCTGCGCCCTGCGGAGCATTTTATTATATGATTGTCTTTCAATAAAGAAAACAAACAAAAAAAAACCATTGCCTTGCAATCCCATAATTAATAGAACAATGTACAATGTCTGGAACCTTGACACCTTTAGATGCAAATGGATTCTGTCGCAGTTTTTTTTAGCCTTTAATCGTGACAATTCACTAATGTTTTATATTTTTAAAACAAGATTACACATTTTAGTTTTAATTCAATTTATTGATATTCTAATTAACAATAATTAATCAAAATGAGTCATTGCATCGCAGTTCACCATGTTCACAAGTCAACAATCTTCTTTGGCCCTTTCTTGAAATCATTGCCTGCAAAGAAATTTTGAAAAAAATGTTTTGAAAAAGACCTTTTATATATAAATACAGTAAAATATGAAATAAAGAAATAGCAGCCTGTTTTATTTATTTATGTTATTAGCAATAAAGTTAAACCAGAGTTGAAGAATCATTTACCAGATTGTATTTTAAAACTACAAACTTCATCTGTGCTTTCATTTTGTCAATGCTGGCCAACATTTAAAGAACACAAGCATAACCTCACTTGAATAAAGATCTATTGAAAAGGCACATTTACCTTATGGAAGCAATATGCAAATTTTGCACATTTTGTATGTTCATAATCATCACATAATCAGTGTAATAAGTCTTTATTAGAGGTAGCTGCAAGATTTGTTCATTATCTGGACTTGCTCGGTTTAGCTGCAAGATTTCTTCATTATCTGGACTTGCTCGGTTTGCTGGGGTTCGTGTTGCTTATTCTTTAGTTTTCTATGTTGTGTCATATGTACTATTGTTTGTCTGTTTGTCTTTTTTCTTTTTTAGCCATGGCGTTGTCAGTTTATTTTCGATTTATGACTTTGACCAGTTGTTGACTGTCCCTCTTTTACGGTTATTTGTATACTACTGACAAAGTCAATAATTTTATAATTTAACTTGTTTAATCCCATATAAAATATACTTACATGCATGCTTTGTTTTGTTTATTTTATTAAGAGAAAAAAATGTTTTTAAGACACGTCATGTTTGAAATGTTGTGTGAATACCTACCATTAAATATATAATAAAGGCGACGACCTTCCATTCTTATGTCTGGTGGATCCAACGTATCAACAACATCTGACGTTGCAATGGTATACGTTGGCCCACCATCCATCCATTTTCCATCTTTAAGATACTTATAATACATAATCCATGGCCATTCAGAAACCTTTAAGAAAAATTATATATATCAATAAAAAAGTATTAGAACGACAACCAACTTTGGACTTTGTTTTATTTCGTTCATGGTGTTTAATAAAGAGCCGTTCTATACATTGAAATATACTGAAATTTGTGTACATTCAACCTAATTCACATTATATCTGAACTTTAGAACTTTTGATAACTGCATTAATTTGTAAATTTCCAAATAGTACTCACATGACTCACAATCTTGACCCAGTATGGACTATTTCAATAAAGGATGACCATCAAATTGCAAAATGAAAGTTTATGCAGCAAACTAAATTGCATATTAAATTGCAATAAATGAAGTACATGAGAGATGATTATTTTTTGACAAAACCAACATATTGTAAACAACAATCTGCACAAAATAATTGCTTTCTAATTAATATTTTTTATAAAGGTATTGATCCTCTTGGATGTCAAGTGTTCAATTAGACAATGTGAATAGTATCAGAAAATAATCATCTCTGGGTGCACTGCGTAAAAAAAACCCAAAAAGAAATAACAACAAATGTTCTTCAACTCCACTTACTACTGCTGGATAAATATTAGAACCAAACTTTACAGCTATGTTTGTTCCATTATTAAAGTTTCTGTTAAAAAAATTGAGTAAAAGTTCAACAGGTAGGATTAAATTCCAATTAAACAAATGTCTGAAATAAGGCTGTTCCATTACGGCATTTTAACTCAAATTAAAAAAATAGATGTGGTATGATTGCCAATAAGACAACAATTTACTTAGATCTTAACTTTAGGTCACTGTACAGCTTTTGTCAATGAGCAAAAGTAACACAGCATAGACACAATTTATATCAATGTAATTTACTTTATTGAGAAATTTAGATACTAAAACCACAAAGTGAAAGAAATAAAACATTACATACAAGAAAACTAACAGCCTTATTCGTGTACAGTACATTACATAAAAATATTATATACAGCAAAAAAATAACCCTCAAATAACATGTTTCTATGTTAGAACAGACAAATAATAACATACCTTGAAGGAATACATTTTTCTTGAACATGTTCAACGTTTTCTGTGTTTTCATGGTTCCTTTAAATAAAAAAAACCCATCAATATGTAATGCATTTAAATGATAAAACAAAACTAACCCTACTACAGATAAAAAAAGTTATCAGAATTTTGCATGGTTTATGAGCTAATGCCTTTATTGTGTTTTGTAGTGGTTAGAAAAAGTAATAGATGCCAAACAAAACCCTGAGGCACCCCTGACTGATGAATACAATATGATTTCAATATTTTTTTAATCTAAAATTAGCATGCCAAACTTGTAAAATGTAATGTGCATTACAAAACTTGTGTAAGAATAATATAAACATGCAGAAAACCAAATGCATTTGAGATTTCTTTTCTTCTGAAAATTAAACATCAAGACAAAAACCTACCAATTGATAAATTGATCAATAAATGAATCATGTGCATTGAAAGATTCTTTTTCGCAATCAGCATCACTGAATGACATGTTGTTGAAGTTGAGACTCGTCATACTGGTGTCTACAAAAAATAAAAATATATATATGCAAACATTTAAATGTGGCTAATAAGTAAAACAATTAGTTGAAGACATTGGTTGCATTATTATGATTATCTCAGACATGAAATTATTCATTCAAATTATAAGTATCGCCATGGCTTAAACCACAAAATTTGATGTTCATTTTCATTCAAAATTTAGCAGTTGTTCAATGTTAAGTTTTGGAATCTGCAATCTTATTAAAAAATTCTGTTTAAATTCAAATCATTTTAAGCAGTAATTATGATAGTTATTGTATGTCAAGCATGTATTGTTTTTGGCTTTATACATTGTCGCATGAAACAAAGAATACCATACACTTTTGTTAAATTAATATTAAAACATGTTTAGATTAATGCTTTTGTCATGATTGTATACCCTTTAGCTCTGGTAGTTCAGTAAATAAGTCACTTCCAAGGAAATCGTCAGGTCCATCTTTTGTTACTATTTCATCGTCATCATCTCTATTATCTTGTTCGTTTTCATTGTCTTGCTCTTCATCATTCATGTAATTCCTGTTTAGCATGTTGAGATCAGGTCCATCTTTGTTTACTATTTCATCATCATCATCTCTATCATTTTGTTCGTTTTCAATGTCTAGCTCTTCGTCATTCCTGTTTTCAATGTCTTGCTCTTCATCATTCCTGTTTTCAATGTCTTGCTCTTCGTCATTCCTGTTTTCAATGTCTTGCTCTTCATCATTCCTGTTTTCAATGTCTTGCTCTTCATCATTCCTGTTTTCAATGTCTTGCTCTTCGTCATTCCTGTTTTCAATGTCTTGCTCTTCGTCATTCCTGTTTTCAATGTCTTGCTCTTCGTCATTCCTGTTTTCAATGTCTTGCTCTTCATCATTCCTGTTTTCAATGTCTTGCTCTTCATCATTCCTGTTTTCAATGTCTTGCTCTATGTCATTCCTATTTAGCATGTTGAAACCATTCAAGTTTACACTCCTCCATTCACCAACAACTGCCTCATTCTCGCATGTTGAACTTGTTCCTTCAGCATGTTCAGTGGCAGTGCAAAAACCACAAAAACAAGCCAGTCTCCTGACTTGAATTTGTCCTGCTCCGATACCCCTCACAGAATGTAGACTTCGGGTACCTTTAACTGTTTTACATACTCTGTTTGGTCTTACATGTCGTATGTTGCTTCTTTCAACCCAAATTAATTTTCGTCTGTTATGGTTACAAGTTCCATCAGGGTTTGTAAGTTCTTTTTGCAAACATAAACACTGTTCATACAAATCCTTAGCAGAGTTGATCAATCCTCCGTTCCTTATTATTCTTGCTGCCTTCGATTTTATGACCCCCCCTTCTCCATCACACCTGTTCTTTCCATGCCTGGAGCCATAAAATGCCTTTTCTGATTTGATATTATTGTCCACCTCTGACATGCTGGAATCTAAAAATGCCACCTTAGACTTGTACTGGGCAGCACATCCGTCTGAAAGAATGAACATTTTTTCTACATCTATTCCTCTTTCTTCCCTCAAAAATTTTATAATCACTTCTGTAAATTTTTGAACTGCATGTACATCATGTTGTAAATCATTACTGATGATGTCAATGATGTCATCTACCATTGAATTGTAACATTCTTGGTTTTTGCACTGATATCTTGCTATAACTGGATGTATTGTAACTGAGTCTTTGGCCCAATGGGCGCCTTGGATTTCATTTTGAGAAAAGCAAGAAAAGTTTTCTGCAAAGTCCATTGTTAGGACAACAGTTTTTTCTGGGGGTCTATTGTTTAATTGTCTAAACTGATTTTGTTGCCAACTGGCAACAAACAAATGATATAGTAGGAACTGCAGTTCATCCAATAGTTGAACAAACAACTGTTGTGCTGGGGTGAAAAATGTAACCAACTGCCTTTTTTTTATTTCTTTTCCTGTTTTGTGGTTTGGTACATTCACAAAATCCCATTTTTGTCATTTTATTTCTTCATTAGCTATGATAAGAGGTTCCATTCTTTTACTTAGATTCTCTGTTCCACAATTCACACACTTTCCTTCTATACAAGTAATTTTGTTAAATTGTTCCCCATTTTTTTCGCATAAAATCATATTAATAGCTTCATACTTATCTCTAATTCTAAGCTGTTGTTGATTCTTACGTACTGCAAAATTGTTAAATGCTGTGATTTTCAAATTCACATTTTCACAATATTCACATAGACACTGGATTAGTTTTCTTTGGTTCTGTAATTTTACATTCGTTGGTCTCATTTTTAAGAATTTAGATTTTGATAACTTTGTATTTTGGTTTTCGGCTTTCCAATCTGAATATATTTCTGTCATTGACTTCTGTAGCACAAATTGATGGTCTTCTGTATTTGCTTTCATTGCTTTTATATTTGGTACATTAATTGATATGTCTTCACGTACAAGAAATTTGTTAACAGAATCTGTAGTATCTTTTGAAATAGTATCCTTTCTTTGTTTCTGTTCCGTGTTTTTACAATATTTTGTTAAGTATCTTTTTTCAATTCCAAAGGTTTTACAAACTAAACTTTGCATGCCATATTTTCTTTTGATATGGTCTGATAAATTGGAAACAAATTTTTTCCTGGCCATCTTTTCTGTCTTTGTTTTTCCTTTTAAATTGTCATGTGCTGCTTTCACTATTGATATGAGTGTTCTGTTCTGTTCATTACATGTGTCATTTGTTTTACTCAATTGGTTCAACACCTTTTGCCTTTTAGAAGGACTTCTAGGCAAAGCTGATTTTACCCTGCTTATTGCTTTTCTTAAAGCTGGTTTGGTCCATTGCTTTGACACTTGATTAGATTGATCATTTTGAATAAGTACTATTTCACTATCTGTATTTGAAATTATATTGGATGTAGTGTCTACTTGATGAACATGATGAACTGCAAGCTTGTTTAATTTTGTTTTTTGTCGTTTTAACCTTTTCTTGTTTCGATCTTTTTCTTTAATTCTTCTTTTCTTTTGTGAAGACAGAGTTTCTCTGTATTGTCTCTTTTTTTCTCTTTGCACTCTTTTTCTCTCTTCTTCTTTTTTTAATTCATGTCTTGTCAGAATGTTTTTACTTACAGAATTTTGAGTATGTTCTTTTTTTTTCCTTTCACGCATATTTTGCATCCTTATTCTGCTTCTTTCTTTATTTTCTTGTTTCTGTTGTTCATTCCACTTTGCTCGTCTTTCACGCATTACTTTGGCGTGTTTTTGTTTCTTGTTCAATTCTGGAGTATCTGGACTCTGTGCAGATGGTAGGGCACTCAATCTGATTTCAAATCTTTTTCCCATCTTTAAAAAGAAATTGTAATGTATAAGTTCACTATGCACTAGTTTTACAAAAAAAAAACATTTATAATTTATAGGCAAGTGTGTTTTATTAAAGATTTTAATATAACGCGCTGGTTTTGATATGTGAACCAAGTCCAGTCTGTGTTTATGTTTCATTTTTTTCTTCTTTGTATTGATCTGACAAATAAGAAGATGTGGTATGATTGCCAATGAGACAACTTTCCACAAGAGACCAAATGACACAGAAAATAATAACTATAGGTCAATGTACATGATCTAAGGCCTTCAATAACATGAATAATGAGCAAAGCCCATAGCGCATAGTCAGGTATGTATAAGGCCCTGAAATGACAATTCAAACAAATATATAACACATAAACAAACAACAACCACTGACTTACAGGGTCCTGACTTGGGACAGGCACATAAATACAGAATGAGGCGGGCTTAAACATGTTAGTGGGATCCAACAATTCCCCTATCCTCTGACAGTGGTGTAATAGTACAACATAAGAACAAACTATAAAAATCAGTTGAAATATAGGCTTAACCCATCAGATGGATACAAATAAAAATACTACACATAGTGGAGGTGGCTGGGTACTTGTATATCCAAACAACAAAAAGACACTAAGTACAGATCTGAGAGTACTGACAGAACTTTACTGACAGACATATTTCTCTTGTCAAGGCCTTTTATAGCCAACTCTACGGTATGGGTTTTTTTCTCATTGTTGAAGGCCGTAAGGTTGCTTACATCCACATTATTTGAACTTTGGTGGAACGTTGTCTCCTTGGCAATAATACAGGTCTCTATTAATTATTTTTACAAAGCAATGTTCTAATTCCAATAATAATTGAAAAAGGGGGGTGGAGGGCTACGTCATAAAATAATACTCTAGTAACATACATGACATATATTTCAATTAATTTTTAACATTGTGAAACAACTTTTTTACTGGAACGTTTGTTCTTCATTAAATTAAAATGGCTGCCTTTAGAACGTGTCTTATGCGTCGGCTTGGGAGTACATAAGATTTAAAATGGGTACAACACCCCCCCTTTTCCTCCATATAAGGCCAGGATTTCCATGTTTGACTCAGAAAAGAAACCTGAAACCCTAAAAATCATTTTTATTGAAATAAAAGGTACTTATCAAAGAAGCTTATTTATTTTGAAGTATACAGTATACCTATTTGCAATTGAAGTTTATGTAACAAAATTTGACAGACATGTCTGTGTGTCTTGTTACATGATATCAGAATTTAATGTTATTTCTTATTTTCTTCAACAAATATTTTTACCTGAAACAGGAATTATTGTTTCCTTTAAAATTCTAATTGTAAGCACATTTCATCATATAACCTTAATAGTGGATGGTCACAAATGGTTTCTGAGTAAACAATTCATGTAACAAGACAGACATGTTTGTCTGTCATGTTACATGAAATGTTAAACAAAATGGAAAATTTACATTAAAAATGATATTTTGAAGAAATGTTATATAAACACAATTTTATCACTTATGAAAATAAAGTCATAAACAACCAAGATCATTTTACTTTTATACTGTACTAAATTGCAACTCAAAATTAATGCAATGTAACAAGATGGACACATCTATCTGTCTGTGTTACATGATATCAGAATTTAAAGTTATTTCATAATAAGTTTAAACAAATATTCCATTCATGTAATAAGAATTTTTTTTCATACACAGGTTAATATCTTAACCATTTTATTTAATAAAATTTTAAAGGTAAACTGTCATTCAGGTACCCTCACTAAATAGAATCATGTAACAAGACGGACAACTTATTTATTGTGATACAGATTTAATGTAACATGACAGATTTTATTCTGTCCGTCTTGTTATGTGAAATGTTAAAAAATATAGACCAACTTTTTTAATTTTCGATGAAACAAACAAAATCTCAAAGTGACATTGACATTTGAGTGGTGGGATCATAATGAAATAGTAACAGAACAGTGCAAAATTACAAGATAATCATGTATGTATTTTTCCATTTCATGCAACCATGACAGATATTGCTTTCTGTCTTTGTTACGATAAATTAATATTGATATCTGTCCGGATGACCAAATAAAGATAAAAGTCTCACTTCGATCTTATCTCGAACCTTTTAAATACACCTTATCGCTATTTGTCCGCCATTACTGGACATCCCACAGGTTCCCGTAAAATTTTGACGTCACAATACAAAATATCTGACGCCACAATGGAAAAGTGATTGTTGTATGACGTCAAAAGTTCAAGCGGGACAGATTCTCGGGTCAGCCGGGAATAGCGATAAGGTGTATTAAAAAATTGCTTTTCACATTGTATTCTAGCGTAGTAAAAACACAAAAAACAGCCTTCAAACACAAGGAAATAAACACTTAATATGGAATTTTTATGATATTCATTGCATTCACGTAACTTACCTTTAACGTAACATTTTGGACAGAAATGATATCTGGACGTTTATCTGATCTTCGTCTTTCGTGCCAAATGTTGACAACCGGAAATTATAGTCCTAAACTTGTTTGCCCATGTTCCAGCCTCTCTCTGGCTTTCTTATATTTAGATTTCTAAATTTACAACATGGGATTTCCTAATCACGTAATGGATTCGATCTGGACAGAACTTCCAACCGCAACTTCAACATCGATTTTCTACAACTTATGATGAATTCATGGCCATTTTGAGTCTTAGTAAACGAAAATAACAAATAAGAAAAGATATTTATTTAATCTACAATACGAATAATTCTCATATAACTTTAAAAAAAAACGAAATTTTGAAATGAAGCCTTTGGACAGAAGTTACGTTAAAACGAGAAGTCACTTTCATCAAATAATTTTGATGTTAATTGCGGAAAGTTTATCTATTAGAGTGTTCCTTCTTGTTTATTATAATCATGACAATCTTTCTACTCATGTTTAGGGTGGTTTTTCCCTTCAAAACAATTTCAAATTTATAGAAATAAAATCGTTATTGCGTATGTCACAATTTACACTGAAAAAAACACCAATTGGGGCCCTTTAAACATTTGATCATTTAAAACGAAAAACTTAATGAGCTTGAAACTATTTTTTTTATTTCTTTATATCATAAACCACACTCCTACAAACACAAAAGTTTTAAAAGATTGAGATAAATGCATAAAAATACAATTTAATATAAATTATACGAAAGTGCTATGGAGTGAATATTGACCCAAATCAGAGTTAAACATAACTTTTTAAACACCTTGTTCTAAGAAACCCAAAACTCATTCTGTTTTGTCTTATAGAGAGAAAACCAAGATTTAATTAATAATCAGACACAACTAGACAAATAAGGCTATAGATCTGTTGTAAATTTATGTTCGTCATGTCCTATAAGAGTCAGGAATCACATGACCTGCTATTATTTTATAATTATAAATAAAAGGAGATATGGGGTTATATATATTCAATCAAATAGCAACTCATTAAAACATCTAGATAAAATTGAGAATGGAAACGGGGAATGTGTCAAAGAGACCACTACCCGACCAAAGAGCAGAAAACAGCCCGAGGCCACCAATGGGTCTTCAGTAAAGCGAGGAAATCACGGTCTAGATGTCTACATATATGGTCTTATATTATTTTCAATTTTATTTTAGAATACCAAAGCATGATTTATTCTGGATCAAAATGCATCAATTTTAACAATTATATGTCCTTTTTATACGACCGCAAAAATTGTAAATTTTTTGGTCGTATATTGGTATGGCGTCGTCGTCGTCCGGCGTCGTCCGAAGACACATTGGTTTTCGCACTCTAACTTTAGTTTAAGTGAATGGATCTCCATGAAATTTTACCATAAGGTTCAATACCACGAAAGGAAGGTGGGGATTGATTTTGGGGGTTATGGTACCAACAGTTAAGGAATTAGGGGCCAAAAATAAGCATTTTTGTAACTTCCAGACAATAACTTGTGTGTAAGTGTATGGATCTCTCTGACATTGTACCACAAGGTTCCATATCACAAAGGGAAGGCTGTAATTGATTTTGGGGGTAATTGCCTCAAAATTTTAGGAATTAGGGGCCAAAAAAGGGGCAAAAAACAAGCATTTTTCTAGTTTCATGACAATAACTTGTGTGTAAGTGTTTGGATATTTCTGAAATTGTACTACAAGGTTCCATATCACAAAGGGAAAGCTGGAATTGAGTTTGGGGGTAATTGCCCGAAACGTTTAGGAATTGGGGGCCAAAAAGGGGCCAAAAATAAGCATTTTTCTAGTTTCCAGACAATAACTTGTGTTCAAGTGTATGGATCTCTCTGAAATTGTACTGCAAGGTACCATACCACAAAGGGAAGGCTGGGATTGAGTTTGGGGGTGATGAATCATAAGGGGGTTCAAAAAATTTGGGGGGGAGGGGATTTTTTTTTTTCTTTTTTTTTTTCTTTTTTTCCTTTTTTTTTTCTTTTAAAATTTTCCATTTTAAGTTGGTTATTTCTGATTAATATTTAAAAGCAAATAATAATGATATGGTAGGAGATACACACCAAACAGGATGTGTAAATTATTATATAATAAGTATTGTGCAATAGCAAGAAATTTTCAATTGCACAGTATTGCACAATTGCAAGAAATCTTCAATTGCACAGTATTGCGCAATAGCAAGAAATCTTCAATTGCACAGTATTGCGCAATAGCAAGAAATATCCAATAGCACAATATTGCGCAATAGCAAGAAATTGTCAATTGTACAGTATTGCACAATAGCAAGAAATATTCAATTGCACAGTATTGTGCAAAAGAAGATACTTCGTATAAATTGCTTATTTCTTGATCAATTTCAATGGGGTTTTATTCTTGAATTCTTGGGGTTCTTTAATATGCTGAATCTAACCGTGTATTAAGTTTTTGGATTTTGGGCCCCGTTTTTAAATTGGTCCACATTGAGGTCCAAAGGGTCCAAAATTTAACTTTGTTTGATTTCATCAAAAATTGAATTATTGGGGTTCTTTGATATGCCGAATCTAACCGTGTATTTAGATTCTTAATTTTTGGTTCCGTTTTCAAATTGGTCTACATTAAGGTCAAAGTGTCCAAAATTAAACTTAGTTTGATTTTAACAAAAATTGAATTTTTAGGGTACTTTGATATGCTGAATCTAAACATGTATTTAGATTTTTGATTATGGGCCCAGTTTTCAAGTTGGTCCAAATCGGGGTCCAAAATTAAACTTTGTTTGATTTCAACAAAAATTGAATATATGGGGTTCTTTGATATGCTGAATCTAACCATGTATTTAGATTTTTGATTTTTGGGCCCCGTTATCAACTTTGTCCACATTGAGGTCAAAAGGGTCCAAAATTAAACTTTGTTTGATTTCATCAAAAATTGAATTCTTGGGGTTCTTTGATATGATGAATCTAACCATGTATTTACATTTTTTATTTGTGGACCCGCTATCAAATTGGTTCATATTGAGGTCAAAAGGGTCCAAAATGAAACTTTGTTTGATTTCATCAAAAATTGAATTATTGGGGTTCTTTGATATGCCAAATCTAACCGTGTATTTAGATTTTTAATTTTGGGTCCCGTTTTTAAATTGGTCTACATTAAGGTCCAAAGGGTCCAAAATTAAACTTAGTTTGATTTTAACAAAAATTGAATTCTTGGGGTTCTTTGATATGCTGAATCTAAACATGTGTTTAGATTTTTGATTATGGGCCCAGTTTTCAAGTTGGTCCAAGTTGGGGTCCAAAATTAAACTTTGTTTGATTTCAACAAAAATTGAATATATGGGGTTCTTTAATATGCTGAATCTATACATGTATTTAGATTTTTGGCCCAGTTTTCAAGTTGGTCCAAATTGGGGTCCAAAATTAAACTTTGTTTGATTTCAACAAAAATTGAATATATGGGGTTCTTTGATATGCTGAATCTAACCATGTATTTAGATTTTTTATTTTGTGGGCCTGCTATCAAATTGGTTCATATTGAGGTCAAAAGGGTCCAAAATTAAACTTTGTTTGATTTCATCAAAAATTGAATTATTGGGGTTCTTTGATATGCCAAATCTAACCGTGTTTTTAGATTTTTAATTTTGGGTCCCGTTTTTATACGACCGCAAAAATTAAAAATTTTTTGGTCGTATATTGGTATGACGTTGGCGTCGTCGTCGTCGTCGTCCGAAGACACATTGGTTTTCGCACTCTAACTTTAGTTTAAGTGAATGGATCTCCATGAAATTTTACCATAAGGTTCAATACCACGAAAGGAAGGTTGGGATTGATTTTGGGGGTTATGGTACCAACAGTTAAGGAATTAGGGGCCAAAAAGGGGCCAAAAATAAGCATTTTTGTAACTTCCAGACAATAACTTGTGTGTAAGTGTATGGATCTCTCTGACATTGTACCACAAGGTTCCATATCACAAAGGAAAGGCTGTAATTGATTTTGGGGGTAATTGCCTCAAAATTTTAGGAATTAGGGGCCAAAAACAAGCATTTTTTTAGTTTCATGACAATAACTTGTGTGTTAGTGTTTGGATATTTCTGAAATTGTACTACAAGGTTCCATATCACAAAGGGAAAGCTGGAATTGAGTTTGGGGGTAATTGCCCGAAACGTTTAGGAATTGGGGGCCAAAAAGGGGCCAAAAATAAGCATTTTTCTAGTTTCCAGACAATAACTTGTGTTCAAGTGTATGGATCTCTCTGAAATTGTACTGCAAGGTACCATACCACAAAGGGAAGGCTGGGATTGAGTTTTGGGGTGATAAATCATAAGGGGGTTCAAAAAATTTGGGGGGGGATTTTTTTTTTTTCTTTTTTTTTTTTCTTTTTTTCCTTTTTTTTTTCTTTTAAAATTTTCCATTTTAAGTTGGTTATTTCTGATTAATATTTAAAAGCAAATAATAATGATATGGTAGGAGATACACACCAAACAGGATGTGTAAATTATTATCTAATAAGTATTGTGCAATAGCAAGAAATTTTCAATTGCACAGTATTGCACAATAGCAAGAAATCTTCAATTGCACAGTATTGCGCAATAGCAAGAAATCTTCAATTGCACAGTATTGCGCAATAGCAAGAAATATCCAATAGCACAATATTGCGCAATAGCAAGAAATTGTCAATTGTACAGTATTGCGCAATAGCAAGAAATATTCAATTGCACAGTATTGTGCAAAAGAAGATACTTCGTATAAATTGCTTATTTCTTGATCAATTTCAATGGGGTTTTATTCTTGAATTCTTGGGGTTCTTTAATATGCTGAATCTAACCGTGTATTAAGTTTTTGGATTTTGGGCCCCGTTTTTAAATTGGTCCACATTGAGGTCCAAAGGGTCCAAAATTTAACTTTGTTTGATTTCATCAAAAATTGAATTATTGGGGTTCTTTGATATGCTGAATCTAACCGTGTATTTAGATTCTTAATTTTTGGTTCCGTTTTCAAATTGGTCTACATTAAGGTCCAAAGGGTCCAAAATTAAACTTAGTTTGATTTTAACAAAAATTGAATTTTTAGGGTTCTTTGATATGCTGAATCTAAACATGTATTTAGATTTTTGATTATGGGCCCAGTTTTCAAGTTGGTCCAAATCGGGGTCCAAAATTAAACTTTGTTTGATTTCAACAAAAATTGAATATATGGGGTTCTTTGATATGCTGAATCTAACCATGTATTTAGATTTTTGATTTTTGGGCCCCGTTATCAACTTTGTCCACATTGAGGTCAAAAGGGTCCAAAATTTAACTTTGTTTGATTTCATCAAAAATTGAATTATTGGGGTTCTTTGATATGCCAAATCTAACCGTGTATTTAAATTCTTAATTTTTGGTTCCGTTTTCAAATTGGTCTACATTAAGGTCCAAAGGGTCCAAAATTAAACTTAGTTTGATTTTAACAAAAATTGAATTTTTAGGGTTCTTTGATATGCTGAATCTAAACATGTATTTAGATTTTTGATTATGGGCCCAGTTTTCAAGTTGGTCCAAATCGGGGTCCAAAATTAAACTTTGTTTGATTTCATCAAAAATTGAATTCTTGGGGTTCTTTGATATGCTGAATCTAACCATGTATTTAGATTTTGGATATTGGACCATAATAGGTGAATGTCCAATTTAAAATTTTTAAGTTCTTAGACCACATTCATTCTGTGTCAGAAACCTATGCTGTGTCAAATATTTAATCACAATCCAAATTCAGAGCTGTATCAAGCTTGAATGTTGTGTCCATACTTGCCCCAACTGTTCAGGGTTCGACCTCTGCGGTCGTATCAAGCTGCGCCCTGCGGAGCATTTTATTTAAATTGGTCTACATTAAGGTCCAAAGGGTCCAAAATTAAACTTAGTTTGATTTTAACAAAAATTGAATTCTTGGGGTACTTTGATATGCTGAATCTAAACATGTGTTTAGATTTTTGATTATGGGACCAGTTTTCAAGTTTGTCCAAGTTGGGGTCCAAAATTAAACTTTGTTTGATTTCAACAAAAATTGAATATATGGGGTTCTTTGATATGCTGAATCTAACCATGTATTTTGATTTTGGACATTGAACCATAATAGGTAAATTAAAAAAATTGAAGTTCTTAGACCACATTCTTTCTGTGTCAGAAACCTATGCTGTGTCAAATGTTTAATCACAATCCAAATTCAGAGCTGTATCAAGCTTGAATGTTGTGTCCATACTTGCCCCAACTGTTCAGGGTTCGACCTCTGCGGTCGTATCAAGCTGCGCCCAGCGAAGCATTTTATTGTCTTTTTTTTTCAGAAGTTTTTTTCAAATGGATCGCATCAATTGGTAAACTTTATATAGCCTCTCTGTCTTTTTTAGAAATCTATGTGGATCCAGAATCCGTGTTGAACATTCCACTGGCAAGGTTCGACCTAAACCATGGTTGAGGGGAGGACGAGGTCCACCTGGAGGAGGAAGAGATGGTGGTGACCGTGGTGGTGGTGGTGGTGGAGGAAGAGGGGGAGAAAGAAGTGGAGGTGGAGGAAGTAGAGATGGAGGAGCAGGTGGACGTAAACCCTTTGACCCAGCAGACAGATGTTATGAGTGTGGAGACAGAGGACATTACGCCTATGACTGTTCACGATACAGAGGCAAAGATAGAGCTCGGAAAAGCAGCAGTTATTCAAAAAGATCAAGGTATGTACCAAACAAGATCTTGCTCAATGAATATTTTTTTCTGTTGTGACCTTTTTTAGCTGTAAATTGTGCAATGATACTTTGTGGGAATAGTCCAAGAGTTCAAAGTAAAAATCACCAATACATAATGAGGTTACATTTCTGATCACAGTACACCCAGGTTTTATAATATTCTCAATCCTGTAGAGAAGTGACTTGAAATTTTGCATTTTGGTTAAAACTAAATTTTCTCTCCAGTGAAATTTATATTTTATAGTAAGACATTCATAAAACATGTAAAAATAACGTAAAAGCATGGGATACACGTTTATTGGTATGAAAAAACAGAATGGTGATCCTTGAACTTTGGCAATGCTCCTTGTTTCAGGCAACATCGTTCTATTTTGTTATTTTAGTTGAACAAAACTAAATTGGTTCAAATATCTTTTACTTGCCTTTCTTAACAAGAAGATGTTATGTAAGTGGTAAATGTCGACAAAAGAAATCAACATTAAATTTAGGCTACTGTCATTGCCAGATTAGACATTGTAATAGCTTGAAGATGATTGCCCCATATTGTAAAGCTTAAATTCAGTGTATAAACAAAATGTTTAACAATACAAAAAATGTGACACTATTATAATAAATTTTTATTTATAAACAAGATATTTTATATATATATTTCTTAACAAGTGCTGCTGTTTAATTTCAGGTTTTTGTTGAATTATTTTGAATATGAATTATGTTAAAAAAAGATAATATAAATTTGTTTTCTAAATACATACACATATACGCATTATTTTTTACTATTTGTCTTCAAAAGTGAACTTGAAACATTTAACACAACACTTCTTTAAAAATGATGATTTTTGTCATTTTTCTTTTATATTTTTTTTTGCATGCATGCTGGCTATGGTGTGTGCTTAAGAATGACTTCTCTGTCAACATGATAAAATAATAGTTTTCCTATCCATGCATTGCAGAAAAAATCCACCGTCATTTGATAGCAGTGATCCTCATCAAAAGTTTGATCACATGATAAGGCAACGTGCTTAGTGTTCACTCAACACATCTACACCTTTAAATCAATCTACCGAGAGAGATAGCAACCCTTCAATCTACCGAGAGAGATCGTCATTCTTCAGTTCAGATCTCTTCACTCCTACAGGAGAATCAGTCAGCCTATGAGAATGAATTTCTGCTTCAGCCCTCATGTACACACTGGGACTGTCAGAACGACTAACGAACCCTCTGCGGCAATTCTCTTCTACACACACTGAGAATGTCATCCCAGCAGATCCTCGCCCTATGAGAATGATTTCTTCACAGCCCAAACACATTGAGAACGATTTCTACTCATCTTTTCTTCTTCAACAGATTTTTAACAGCACTACATATTTTTGATATCATCTTAACAATTGCATTTGACAGCTGTGTGCGTAAGTGGGGAATTTCTGAATATGAGAGCGTACAGATTTAAAAGTTCAAATTTTCCAGATTTTAAAAATTGTATTATATTTTATACAAATGTTAAAGTATATCTTGTATAAATTCAGGGGATTTTTAAAGGAGAAATTAAAAAAAAGAGTACACTTTTGGAGGGGTGGTAAACTAGGGGCCATATCAAGATGTGTTTTTTTTTCCCTAGTGACACCATTTTTGAGCAGATGGCACAACATACACACTAATATTATTAATAATATCAATAAAATTAAATACAACAAATAGAATCAGTCTCTCAAAGAATTATTTCAAAAGTTAAAAATTGTATCTTGAGATGGTGCTTTAACTCATTAATGGACAGAAATTTCATCAAAATCCAAAATGTCATGTGTTTCTGTTATCTTACTGGAACAAATGGACTTTTTTGAGGAGAGAATTTCATTCTAAAATCTTAAATTAAAAGGTGATTTATATGAACTTTGGTGGATAGTTGTCTCATTGGCAATCATACCACATCTCCTTATTTTTATAGAGAGCTAAAAAAAAAAGTGTATACATCGCATACAGGTATTGAAGGTAAACATTTAAAGAAAAATGATATTATTTCTAACCTTAGTGAAAACATTTTGTGAAAAAAAAGTAGACGGGTGGTATTAAATAGTCATGGGTAACAATTTAATTAGGCTTACTGTTTATGATTTAGAATGTCTCTGTTGTAGATCCAGATCATACTCAAGATCACGATCCAGGAGTCATAGTAGGGGGAAGGCAAGATCTTACTCAAGATCTCGTAGCAGGTAAGGGGATCTTATTAACCAGCTTGGTCCAGATATATAGAAGTCATTATAAGATTGATTCAGACAGGAAGAATTATATACTTTTATGACTCAAAACTTTTTAACCAAAGTATAAATCCTAGATGTCTTGGAAAGTTCAGTGCATTTTAAATGTTCATTTTATATATAAAATTATATCTGTGTTTGTTATATGGTCACACTGGAGTGGAGCAATATTGCAATCCCCCTTGTCCTGTAGTTTACGTTTCACTTTTCTCAGGTACTACTAAACAGAATGACTTTATATTTGGTCTGCAGCTTGACAATGATGTGTTGTAATGTGTAAGCACTTGTTGGATCTACCAGACAATATATTATAATTTTTAGTCACATTTATTTAGTTCTACTGAACAGAATAACTTCATATTCAGTTAGCAGCTCTACTGTGTGAGAGCTTTTGGAATTTGTCAAACACCTACTTTCTGCTTAATAATAAATTATATGTAGGGTATGCTTATCCTGACAGTGTTATCATTTTTCATTGTTCTTCAGTTGCCTCTTATTGATTGAAAGGTTTTAATTTGATATGTTGCCTTTGTAATTACAGGTCACCAGTTGCCAGATCTAAGAGCAGAAGTCCAAGCCCTTATTGATTTGATCCTATATGTTGCCTTTGTAATTACAGGTCACCAGTTGCCAGATCTAAGAGCAGAAGTCCAAGCCCTTATTGATTTGATCCTATATGTTGCCTTTGTAATTACAGGTCACCAGTTGCCAGATCTAAGAGCAGAAGTCCAAGCCCTTATTGATTTGATCCTATATGTTGCCTTTGTAATTACAGGTCACCAGTTGCCAGATCTAAGAGCAGAAGTCCAAGCCCTTATTGATTTGATCCTATATGTTGCCTTTGTAATTACAGGTCACCAGTTGCCAGATCTACGACCAGAAGTCCAAGCCCTTATTGATTTGATCCTATATGTTGCCTTTGTAATTACAGGTCACCAGTTGCCAGATCTACGAGCAGAAGTCCAAGCCCTTATTGATTTGATCCTATATGTTGCCTTTGTAATTACAGGTCACCAGTTGCCAGATCTACGACCAGAAGTCCAAGCCCTTATTGATTTGATCCTATATGTTGCCTTTGTAATTACAGGTCACCAGTTGCCAGATCTAAGAGCAGAAGTCCAAACCCTTATTGATTTGATCCTATATGTTGCCTTTGTAATTACAGGTCACCAGTTGCCAGATCTAAGAGCAGAAGTCCAAGCCCTTATTGATTTGATCCTATATGTTGCCTTTGTAATTACAGGTCACCAGTTGCCAGATCTAAGAGCAGAAGTCCAAGCCCTTATTGATTTGATCCTATATGTTGCCTTTGTAATTACAGGTCACCAGTTGCCAGATCTAAGAGCAGAAGTCCAAGCCCTTATTGATTTGATCCTATATGTTGCCTTTGTAATTACAGGTCACCAGTTGCCAGATCTAAGAGCAGAAGTCCAAGCCCTTGAACAGATCAAAGAACAGACTAGATGAAATCATTTATTACTATATTGTTTTTACTCATTGCTTAAGGTGGTACCCAACACCTTCACTAAAATTAATTTGGCTCGTTTAATTTTCATAAAATTTTGACAAAGTATTTACTTTGACCCTTTGACAAAAATATAAAAATTTCAAAAAATTTGAACCAACCAATTTATCAGAAAAATTAGACTGGTTATATAGCAGTTTGACAAACACTAACTTTGATCATTGAGAAGCTTAATATTCCCTTAACAATACAACGTAATTAAAACGTTTAGCTGATTTTTACAGAGTTATCTCCCTGTAGTGTTAGGTACCACCTTAAAATCTAAAATCCATCATTACACAAGAGCTATTTCACAAACTTGTGTGTTGTATATATATCTTGTTCTTTTTCAACTTGTGTATTTTCATGACATTGTATATTATTATAGTGGAAAAATCACTAAATTTGAACAAATGTTTCTTAATGTCCATGAGAATCAGCTTACTTCTCTTAATCATTCATAAACATCACGAAGTTTGAAAAAATCTGACATCCATTTATTGAAAAGATTAATTTCACACAATATTATTTGAATTAGTAAAGTTTTTATTATCCAGGTCATTGACCTAATTAATGGTGTAAATACTTATGGCCAGTGAAAACTTGATCTGCAATTTGATTTTATTTACATATTTTTTTCCCTCATGATTTCCCAAATAACTGCATTTTAGTGTTTAGGCCAGTAAAAATGAATGTTTAATAATATAAAATTCAGATCACACTGCTAGCATCAGATACCAATTATATTTTGGACTTAACTCTTGCAGAGAGGTTATGATGTAGAAGTTAGAACTGTTCGTGTACTGTGTATAAAAGGCAGCATCTCATTTATAATTCATCATGTTCTATTCATAGGTGTAAAGATTGTTTGCTAGTAGAAGGCCTTCCCAGTTTAGTTCCTACAAATGGAAAATTAAGGAACCATCTTGTTTATAGGTTAAGTATTAGGACAGTAAATTGTACACTTAATCCACTATTAGGGTAGTAAGTACAAATCATGTTGCAACTCTAAATGAATCTCTGACGGTATAGTGACTTTTGCCAACATATTCCAATTCATCCAACCAATGTCAGAATTTACATTCAACCTTTAGATGACGACATCAAGATGTTATTTGTCTTCAGGGTTCTGGATAAATTTCCATCTTGAAAATATGGCGTGTTGGAGATGGCTTTATTTAATCACAATAAAACTAACGGATAATGATTTTACTTTCACCATGGTTTTATGTTTAATAGTATGCATTTGTATTAAATGCGTTCTGATTGTGTAAATAAAAGTTAAAAACTATTTTAGTTGGGAATTTTTATACGACCGCAAAAAATTTTGTGGTCGTATATTGGTATGACGTTGGCGTCGTCGTCGTCCGAATACACAATGGTTTTCGCACTCTAACTTTAGTTTAAGTGAATGGATCTCTATGAAATTTTACCATAAGGTTCAATACCACAATAGGAAGGTGGGGATTGATTTTGGGGGTTATGGTACCAACAGTTAAATAATTAGGGGCCAAAAAGGGGCCGAAAATAAGCATTTTTGTAACTTCCAGACATAACTTTTGTGTTATTGTATGGATCTCTTTGCCATTGTACTACAAGATTCCATATCACAAAGGGTCGATGATGGGATTGATTTTGGGGTTAATTTCCTCGAAATTTTAGGAATAAGGGGCCAAAAAGGGGGCAAAAAACAAGCATTTTTCTAGTTTCATGACAATAACTTGTGTGTAAGTGTATGGATCTTTCTGAAATTTTACTACAAGGTTCCATTTCGCAAAGGGAAAGCTGGAATTGAGTTTTGTGGTAATTGCCCAAAACGTTTAGTAATAAGGGGCCTAAAAAGGGGTGAAAAATAAGCATTTTTTAGTTTCTAGACAATAACTTGTGTTCAAGTGTATGGATCTCTCTAAAATTGTATTACAAGGTACCATACCACAAAGGCAAGGCTGTTATTGAGCTTGGTTTGGGGGGGAAGGGGGGGGTCAAAAAAGGGGTAATTATTTTTTTTTCGTTTAAGGAATAAGGGGAAAAAAGGTTAAAAAACTAGGGTTTCCATTTTAATAGACAAATAATTGAGTAAAGAACATTATTTAAAAGCAGTGTAAGGTTGGTAATTCAAACTCATTTAAATATCTCACCTGCACTATGTTTGAATTATGTAAATTGGAAATTTGCCAATATAAAATTTTGCTGATGAAGGTTTTTTGTTTACCTTTAGTCTGACTATGATTTCATTTTCTATTTTAATAGCCTTATGATGTAGTTAAATTTTTTTTAATACTTTTATGATGTATTTTAATGCGCTTTTATGGTTGCAAATTTATTGTTTTAATATAATAAACTCCATTGGAAATTTACCAATAGTTTGTTTATTTTTAGCTATGACTATGATGTCATTTTCTATTTAATTTTAAGGTTACAAATTAATTTCAGTTTTAAATATTATTGTAAAATGTTTGCCCAAAACATTTATTAATAAGTGGCCAAAAAAGGGGGCAAAAATAAGCATTTTTTTAGTTTCCAGACATTAACTTGTGTTCAAGTGTATGGATTTCTCTGAAATTGTACTTAAAGGTACCATACCACAAAGGGAAGTGGGTCAAAAAAATTTGGGGGGGGGGGGGGGGATTTTTTTTCCTTTTTTTTTCTTTAAAATTTTCCATTTTAAGTTGGTTAATTCTGATCACAAAGAGAAAGTTGGAATTGAGTTTGGGGGATAATTGCTCAAATGTTTAGGAATAAGGGGCTAAAAAAGGGGTTAAAAATAAGCATTTTTTTTTAGTTTCCAACAATTAATTGTGTTTAAGTAATTGGATCTCTGTGAAATTGTACTGCAAGGTACCATACCACAAACTGAAGGCTGGGATTGAGTTTGGGGGGGCGTGATGTGTGAAAATTTTCCACTTAAAGTTGGTTAATTATTTCTGATTTAGATATAAAAGCAAATAATAATGATGTGGTTTGATTTTATCAAAAACTTAAATTGAAGTTATGTATATTGTAAGTTTTCTGGTCTGTGCGTCAGTCTGTCCCGCTTCAGGTTAAAGTTTTTGGTCTAGGTAGTTTTTGATGAAGTTGAAGTCCAATCAACTTGAAACTTAGTACACATGTTCCCTATGATATGATCGTTCTAATTTTAATGCCAAATTAGAATTTTGACCCCAATTTCATGGTCCACTGAACATAGAAAATGATAGTGTGAGTGGGGCATCCGTGTACTAGGGACACATTCTTGTTTCCTATTATAGTAAAATTTATACAAGATCTACCATCAAGTCACATGACCACAAAAAACTGGCAACTTCCAGCAATTACTTATTGGGGTTTTTGCCATTTATTGACAATTTTAACCTTTCACCTCTGAAACAACTGAATCAATTTAAACTGAACTTAACGTGGAGGATCCTATTTAGTTAAAATCTTTCAATCAACATTACAGCCATGACTTCCAAAATAGAACATAGTGTAAAAAAATGCAAATTATTGTCCAATAATCTTGGTGCTTCATAATTTGTATACAGATGCCTATGTGACAAGAGTATCCAACTATTATGTCCATTGCTCGACCTCATTTCCATTTGCCCAGTGACTGCTTTAAATACTTTTAATTTCTCACTTAAAATGATAAATAGGAAAACTAATTGGTATATGGAATTCTTTCAAGGCTTGCATGTACATCTGACATTAGATAAACAAAACATCCACCGTTTTCTGGAGTGGAGCACTTCTCTACAAACATGTTGTTTTAGAATATCCCTATATTTCTATTGAAGACAGACCATGGATTTTTAACTGCAATATCCTCAATTCTTGACTGCTGGATTTGCCAAGTATTGCTAATAGATTGAGTTCAAACCATTTAAACAGTTTAATCATGTACTACTAAGAGAATTTTATCATTATTTTACAGCAAAAAAACCGGAAAAATAGTGGAGATACAACAGTATAAAATTTATATTTCTCTGAATAACTATATAGGAATAAGCTATTATACTCCAATGGAAGTGTGGAGATAGAGTAGTGTAGTTGTGACAAAAACTCGTAAAGTGTAGAAATCTCGAATAATAGTTGTATAGGGAGATATACAATTGCTCTTCTGTATCTGTATGGGTACGTTGTGATACCAATACTGGCTTTAATACAACGGTAGAGAGAGCGCTTTCGATTTATTGACGGTGCGCAAGAGCAGTTTTGAAGCTCTCAACGCTCGGTGTGCACACTAGAGTTTCTTCTAGGTGGTTCCACTCGATCTCTGTTTTCATGAAGAATGGGTTTGCATATTGTGTCGTTTTGCTATTTGGAGTCTCAAAACACTTTGTGTTGTTCTTAACTTGTTTTTCCCCAATATTTATTGTCTGGTAGTTATCAAATTTCTTGACAGTAATTGTTCTTTTTGGACGTGCTTTTTTTAAATATTCGTCTGCTTCTATAGCAGGAACCAGCCCCTCAACCATTTTGTACAGAAATATTAGCTTCTGGCTTGAACGTCTTGTCTGTAAATCTTGTAGTTCCAGTTTAGCGAGCATATTTGAGACGCAACCATCTCTAGATTTGTAGTCTCCCGTTATAAATCTCGCTGCTTTTCGTTGTATCCTTTCAAGCTTGCTGTTTGTAGATCTGTAGAGTCCCATAGTATTGCTCCATACTCCATTGTTGAACTGACAACATTCTTGCATTCTTGTGGGCAATATCTCAAATTCCTTCTCAGGAAGCCTAGTATTGAGTTAGCCTTTTTCGTTGGAAATATGGGTAGACCATTTTATAATTAGGCCTTCTGAAATGTGTAGGCCCAAGTATGGGTTATGTTGGACTTGTTGTAGAATGAGTCCATTTAAACTAGAATTTTTGGCTTTTGTTTTTACATCTTAGGATGTAGCATTTCTTTGCGTTGAACCTCATTCCCCAGTTATTTGCCCATACTTCTAGGTTCTTGAGATCTTCTTGGATGATGTCATAGTCTTTCTGGGACTTTATGGATCTGTAGAGTAGGCAGTCATCTTCGAATAGTCGAACTGCAGATCTGACTGCGTCTGGGATGTCATTTATATGACAAAGGAAGAGTAACGGTCCTAGGACTTGTATCCTGATCTTAATGTATATCAAATGTATAGCTATCTCCATTTTTATCAAAAGTGGACATATAGCACTATAAGATTTACACGACGACCTGTCAGTCCTTGACCTCATTTACACGGATCATTGATAATGTTAATATTAAATAAGATGATGTGGTATGAATGCCAATGAGACACCTATCCAACAGAGTTCAAATGATGTGAATGTTAGCAACTATATATCACCGTACGTCTATATGATACTTATATTAATCCTTAAATATGTTCAAAATAAATTCAATAGCAAGTGCGACATCTCAGCGTGTTATATTTGGTGCTTACTTAGTTTCTTTGATGCAGACCAAAAATTGTCACCTTCAATGAAAGTTATTGGAAACATGCTCCTAAGCAGATTAAGTTTGCTATTTGGATATTTATATTCATCAAATATTATTAAAATTATTGATGAGTTTAGCTGTTTATTCTTGAAAATATACCTTAATGCAACTGCTGCTTGGTCCCTAGAAAGGTTTTATTATTATTTAAATAGGAAAAATATTGGGCAATGCAATTTCGTACATGAAGTGGAAGGATGGAAAATGTGACAAAAAGTTAAATCCATTTTGATTAGATTGTTTTCTTTAATATGTCAAAATTGATGCTGAGATAAGATTCAAAATGAAAGTAATGCTTTAAACATCGCGAGTTAATACGTGTACTGTATAAGGATGGTATATTTCTGATGTCAAATTGAAAAAATATAATGACATGACCAGTTTTAATCTAGGTATACAAAGTTTGTACCAATATTGTAGAATTTTATATTGTTTTCTACTCGGTGCAATACCAGGTAGATGAAAACATATTGCAGTCAGATGTCATTTAAAATAGAATTGTAGAAAAACGGAGAATGATAAAACAAAACGCACAAAACTGTGTGCATATGTTTATCAATCGATGCATGAATATATTGAAAAAGATCACAAAACAAATGTTCTGTGTAATTATGCGTTTAAATTCGATGTTAATCGATTAATTTTCAGCTAACTAAAAATAAAAAAATAAAAATGATACATAGAAATATAGGTACAATTCCTGTCTTTCCATTTATGGTTTTGAAGAATTGGAGGAAACATTTACTGCAAAACTGGTTACTTCTATTTTTCTTCTATGAAGAGGTGTTATATAAACAATTTCTGATGTTGAAACTATATACTAGTAATTGCTTAGACGGAAC